TGTGTGTGTGTGTGTGTGTGTGTGTGTGTGTGTGTGTGTGTGTTTTCTCTATGTTAAATCCTTGAAAGATAAATGAGTGTCCAAAGATATTTCCCCCCCATTCTGTATCTTTTTCCTACAGTTGTTTCCTTTTTCTGTGTAAAAGCTCTTTAACTTCTTGCAATGATTCAATCCCATTTATCTTTGGGGATTCTTGTTTGTTTGTCTTTAACATTGCTTCTTGCTATGGAGGCCTGACTGGCTTGGAGTTTGCTGCATACACCAGGTTAGCACCTATTTTACAGTAAGTAGCCTTTCCTGCCTCTGGTTCCTGGGTGTTAACATTGTAATCATGAGCCTCTAGTGCCCATTCCCTATTTCCTATTCTTCCTGTAAATTATTAGATTTAGAATGCCATTGTCTGTGCCCCTAGCTTCATGTATTCTTTAAATTTCCTCTTTGAATTTCAAGTTTTTTAGCCTTATGTTAAGGTCTTTGGTTCAGTTTGAGTTGGCTTTTGTACAAAATGCTAGAGGGATTTAGGGATATTCTTGTACATATGGTATTGTTTTCCTTGTTGAAGAGGCCATTATACTGTACACGGTTTGGATGCCTTTGCTGAAATCAGAAGGTTTGGCTACGTGGTTGTTCTGGGACTGTTCTCTTCCATTGCTCTACATGTCTGCTTTTAAGTTTCACTGTCTCATTTAAGTTGAATGTTGTGTTAACTCTAGCTAGCATTGGTCTTTTTGCTCAGTGTTGCTTTGACTATTTGGGGTATTTTGATTTTCTTATAATTATAGGAATGTGTTTTCTATTTCTATAAATAATGGCATTGGAGGTTTAATGGGGGGTTGTATTGAGTCTAAAGAACACTTTACACTTTTTCATATTATAATGGTGCTGATTTGTGAGCATAGAAATGTTCCCCATTTTCCAGAGCCTTCAATTCCTCAATGTTTTAAATTGTCATTATGTACTCCTTTCACCGGCTTGACTAAGTTTATTCATAGGTGAATTTGACTTTTTGTCTTGTAACTTATTTCCTAAGCTTTTGGAAGATGATTTTTTTCCCTTGATTTTTTGATCACCATTTTCATTGTCATATAAATAGCTACTGATTTTTTTCTATACTGACTTTATTGTACTACTTTACTGAAGTAGTAAATCAGATGTAGAGTCTTTGGTGTTTGGATCTTAAAGAATATGACCATAGGGTCTAGAGATGACTCAGTAGTTAAGAGCCCTGGCTCCTCTTCTAGAGGCCTGAGGCCTGGTTGCCAGCACCTACATGGCAGCTCACAACTCTAACTCTAGTTCCATGGAATCCAGCTCCCTTTTCTGGTCTCTGGGTACCAGATATGTGCATGGTACACAGACATACATGCAGGCAAAACAGCCATACACATACAATGATTTTTTTTTTAAAGATGATCATACTGTCTGTAGAGATTTGACTTCTTCCTTTCACGTGTCTTTCCTTGTGCTCAAGATTGAACTGAGGGGCTGTGTGTAGTAGACAAGTGCTGGTCCCTCTGAACTGCAGCCCCATTCTTGGATCCTTTCTTTTCTCTTATTTTGCCAGCTGAGAATTCAGGAGATATATATAGCAGTGTAGAGAAGTAGATTCCTTTGTGTTATTCCTCATTATTTTAGTTTTCCTGTTTGGTATCATCTTGGCTCTAGTTTTGTCATTTATAACTTGTCACAGTGAGGTGTGTTCCTTTTTCTAGGTTTTTCCAGACTTTATCATCAAGGGATATAGAACTTTGGACAAAGTCCACTTCTCCATGTATTACAGTGATAGGGAGATTTGAGTCCTTGGACATCTATGTTCTCTGTTACATTTACTGATTGCTGTCTGTGGAAACATGCTTATATGCGAAGAATGAAATCAACCTGAACATAGTTTGTGGTATTTTTAATATGTTGAGTTTGTTTGAAAGTATAATTTTGAGGGGTTTTTTGGGGAGGAGGGTCTGTTTTCATCAAGGAATTTTTTTGTAGTTTTCTTCATTGTTGAGTCCTTCATGGTTTTGCTATCAGGGTAATACTACCTTCCAAGAAAAAATTAGTGTTTTTTCCCTTTATATTTAGTGAAATAGTTTAGGAAGCTTGAATTCAGTAGTGAATTCAAGTCCTATGCTTTCCTTTGGGAGACAAAATTCATTTCTAACTTAGTTTTGTTGCTCTTTTTTTATTTTAATTTTAATTTTATTTTATTTTGGTTTTTTGAGACAGGGTTTCTCTGTGTAGCTCTGGACGCCTTTCCTGGAACTCACTCTGTATCCCAGGCTGGCCTTGAACTCAGAGATCCGCCTGCCTCTGCCTCGCAAGTGCCGGGATTAAAGGTGTGCGCCACTGCTCAGTAGTTTGTTGCTCTTTTACATTGTTCACATTTCCTTGATTTATTTTTTTCTTCATCTGTTCATTTTGCTATTAAGAATTTTATACATGCGCATAATGCATTTTCATCAAGTCCACCCACCCCTGTTTCTTTCCTTCTAATTCTTTTCCCTCTCCATTTGCTCTCTATTTTTTAACTGATAGAGTTAAATGCTGCCAGTGTATACAAGGGTGCAAAGCTATATTTATTGTGGCATGAATGTGCAACTGTCCTGTTGTGCAGAACACACTGTTTGACTACAGTAATCCATTGGCTCTGGCTTTTACACTCTTTCTGCCCCCTCTTCCATAATGATCCCTAGTCCCCTAAGAGAAGGGATTTGATATAGATAGATGTCTTATTTAGGGCTGAGCCCTCCAAAATCTCTTATTCTCTGCATGCTGACCAGTTGTGAGTCTGTTAATTGCCATCTACTGCATAAATGAATAAATAAATAAATAAATAAATAAATAAATAAATAAATAATAAATAATAACAAAACAAAAAAAAGTTTCGTGATGAAGGTTGAAAAAGAAATTTATGGGTGTTAAGATACCCAAAGGAGTTGGTTTTAGCACCATGTCTTTTTAACAGAATAATAGTAGAAAGTTCTCCACCTTAATGGTGCTGAGCATGAGTACCATCTTGTGGAGTGTGTGGAGTGAGCCTTAAATCTGGTCAAAAAGTGGTTGGTTATTCCCACAACATTCATGTCCTAGACTGATCATCACTGTAGATCAGAGGGGTCTCAGCTGGGTAAGCTTGCTGTGTCGTCTGTCTTCTCCCCTGGTAGTAGGCACAGCACCTTCCAGCACCATGGTGGAAGCTAGCAGTAGGATGAAGCCTCTAGGTCAGTAGAAGCTTGATTTCTTCATGTTCTGTGACTCAGTATGTGGTGTCTGCAGTAATGGGGTCTTGCCTTCAAGTTATGTGTGGTAACCAAGGACAATAGCAATAGCCTATAATATTGGGGAGGATGTCTATGGGACTCTTACCTTTTGACATAATTTTGATATTTCATAAATGTCTTGAAACTATTCTTGATTTTACAGTTTATTGTGATATAAGTTTTCAAACTATCTAATCATTTTCTGGATTTTATTTACTGTGTAGTATAATGTCTCCCTTTTCAACTCTAACATTCATATGAATAAAACATAAGATAATAAACAATGAAGTACTTAATTAAAACTTTGTAAATATTATGACTGCCT